CCCCCCCCCGCACAGCAGCAGTTCCCATCGCGGCCCTGGGGCTAAAGGATCGAGGCCTCTTTCCTCGCAACAGGAAGGTACTTCTGCGCGAACCCAGCGGGGCTTCAGTGCCCAGAGGAGCCCGTCCCTTCCAAGGAACGTTCGCCGGACCGGAGAAGGGCAACTTTCATTCTGAAATGCGGGGGGGGGGGGGAGAATCCCCAGGTGTTGTAGAGATTCCCCCACACACACACACACCAAGAGGCCCCTTGATCAGGCCGTGGGGCTCAGGGCCCCCTCCAGCTCTCTGCGAAAGGCTCCCCTTACTCCACTGGGGGGGGGGTGTCTCCTCTCCCACCTGGGACCAGCCGTCCCTCTGCTGTGAGAGCCGCCCGTCACCTTCCCTCACATGCCCTTTGGGCTGCTGCAGGACCTGGACCTCAGGGCAGCGGAGGGGCACAGGGAGAACTTGGAAGCAGAGAGCCACTCTGAGAAGCACGTGACTTGCTCAGAGGCACTCTGGGCAAGTGATCGTGACTGTGACCGTCTGCGTGTGCACGTGAGTCCAGGGAGTCTCAAAACCTACGAAAGGACACTAGGGAAAGCTGAAGGCGAGAGGACAAGAGGAAGACCCGGGAGGAGATGGACGGAGGGACTCCACCAAGGAAGCCACGAGGGCCGTCCACTGGCAAGGCCTCAGCCAGGCTGTGAAGGACAGGAGGTGCTGGAGGACACTGACCCGCGGGGTCATCAGGGGCCGGAAACAACAACAACCAAAAAAAAGGGGCCGGAAACAACCTGACGGCACTTCACACACACACACCCACCCACCCCTCTCGGAGGCGGGGCTTCCCGCTCCCTTAGCATTCTGCCTGCTAGCTTGAAACCTGATTCGTCCTAAGACAAATTATTACAATACTCGACGTCTTTAATTCAAGCTTCAGAAATCGATAAGACGACTCCAGTTTCTATCACGTTCGTTCTGGAATCACAGGGCTCATCTGCACCTGTCTGTATTTGTTCATCTTATTTACACAATGATTTGTCAGCCTCCAAGTCGGCTCTCTGGGTCTGGGACTCCTTCAGCGCAGCCCCACCTGTTGCGGCTCCCCCTTCTGAAATCCAGCCTCCTGCATTCCGGGGCAAGGAACGGGGGGGGGGGGGGAATGGCCACCGGGATGAACGTGCGCAGAACACCAGCCTTTGGAGCAGGACGTGTCACTAGCCCTCGGGGGGGGGGACAGCGGGTGGGGTGGAGGGTGAGATTAAGAGGAAGACGGGCTGATCCTAGTTACTCCACTCACCAAGTCGGGGCACCTGAAGAGGAGGGGGTTCCTGGCGTCCACGATCTGCACCACCACGTCGCTGCAAGAGAGGAGGAGGGAGAGGGGGTGCTGCCATCTTCCCTTGCCCTCTCCAGCGGCACGACGAGAGGGAAGGGCCCTTGAAGAAGAGTGGCAGCTGAGCAGCAGAGATGCCTGGCTATTCGGGGCAGGTAGGGGAGGGTGCCAGCTGGTCCCCGTGAGCCCCACCCCCCAATGATCCCCACCCAACAGCCCCTCTGCTGTGTCTCTGGAAATGCACTTTTGATTGCAAAACACTGGGCCGTGATCCCCCCACCACAGTTGCAGTCCAGGGGGGGGGGCTCCACCAGTCCTTCCCCCTCCCACCACACCAAGAACGGGGAGGGGGCAGGGTGCTGTATGGGAAGAGCATCACCTTCTTTCAAGGACTCGCCAAAGCTGCCGCCAGAATTCCAGATTTCGTTCAAACGGAGTCAAGATGAGCCTCTGTTCTTCCTCTAAACTTGAGCATGGCAAGGAACAAAACAAATTTGCGGATTGTTATTGCCCATTTACCAGAGAGCTCTTATCTCCATGGCTGTTTTCGGAGTAACAGCCACATAGCTGGAGTACCTGGAGTCGTGGTAGATAACTCACTGAAAATGTGAACTCAGTGTGCAACGGCAATAAAAAAGGCCAGCACTACGCTGGGGATTATTAGGAAGAGAACTGAAAACAAATCAGCCAGTATCATAACGCCCCTGTATAAATCAATGGTGCGATCTCATTTGGAAGTGTGCAGTTCTCGTCACCACACCTCAGAAAAGATACCGTAGCATTGGAAAAGTGCAGAAAAGGGCAACTAAAATGTTTAAGGGGATAGAACATTTTCCCCATGAGGAAAGGTTAAAGCGCTTAGGGCTCTTTAGCTTGTAGAAACGACAACTGAGGGGTGACATGATCGAGGTTTATAAGATTATGCATGGGATAGAGAAGGTAAGAGGTACTTTTCTCCCTTTCTCACAATACAAGAACTCGTGGGCACTCTATGAAATTGCTGAGCGGTCGGGTTAGAACAGATAAAAGGAAGACCTTCTTCACCCAAAGAGTGATTAACACATGGAATTCACTGCCACAGGAGGTGGTGGTGGGAGGGTACAAGCATAGACAGCTTCAAGAGATTAGATAAACATCTGAAGCAAAGGTCCATCCATGGCTATGAGCCACAAGATATAGGTGGAACACTCTGTCTGGAGCAGTGATGCTCTGTCTTCTTGGTGCTTGTGGGGCAAGAGTGGGAGGGCTTCTGGACTTCTGCAGCTGTTCTGTGTTTATTCTGCCCTGGCAGGGAAATTGGGCTGTGATGCTCCAAGACAGGCAGGGGCTTCTCACGTCGCAGAATGAAATGGGCAGAAACAGCTGATGCGCACTCACCGGGCAAGCTGGCGCCTCCACTCGAGAAAGCTGTCTCTTTCCGCTTGGTTCAACAACTCAGGGCTGGTTTGTTTGTCCCAATACGGCCTGCAAAAACCAGCCAGAAAAAATTCCACTTCAGTACTGCCTCTTTTCTTTATTTCTCTAGCACAGATCAGATCAGAAAAGGCACATTTATGCTGAAATGGCACCGGCTGCATCAAGGATCAACAGCATCCCAATAGATCAAAGGGTCTCTCTGCATCCAGGGCAATGTTCACATGCTGAAGAGGTTCCAAAGAACTGCTAGGTAAGTCAAGGAGGAACCAGAGGAAAGCCCGAAGGGACCCGGCAGAAATTAAAGAAAAAAGCCAGGGAGGAAAGGCAGTACCATCCTTCCCAAAGATTTCAGTTCCAAAGCATACGTGTACAGGGGGAGGGAATTATTCAATTATCCACAAACACTGGGCAGAAAAGAAAAAAATCACACTGAACAATTTGCCAGGCATCACTCGTAGCACACGGCAACAGTGCAAAAGGACTGCCCGGATGGCCTGGAGGATCTCCTTTTTCGGTGATGTGAAAAGCCCCAAAGAGGCTGGACAAGAATGGAGGTGAGGTGCTCAGTGATGGAGCACCTGCTTTGGTTACAAAAGGTCCCCGGTTCTGCTTTCAGCATCTCCCTTCAGAAGGATTAGGTAGCAGGGGACGTAACAGACCTCTGCGTGTGACCTTGGAGACTGAATGGCAGGGAAAGGAGATAACACCAATTGGAACATGACCTGACTCCGCTTAAAGCGGCTTCAGGTGGGTCCTAGCTCTGGTCTCATACTACAGCAAATGCCCTTTATTTATAAAAGACAGGATGCAAAATTATACCGTCTCTGTAACCAGTGCGCCTCTCACAGCCAAATTATACTAAGAGAGACAAAACAGATGTCCACATGTGTGTGTGTGTAGGGAGGTATGTAACTCTTTTCTCTCTCTTTTTTTCTTTTCTGAATTGCCTTCCTCTTTTCTCTTCATGGATGCTATTTACAATGTGACCATAACACAACCCATAATCTGCCTTGAATCTCAGCAAGAAAGTAAACACACACACACACCCCTGTGGAACAGAAAAGGCGCCGGGGGGGGGGGGGGGGGGGGGGAAGGCAATTTAGATCAGGAAAACAGCGTTAAGAAGAAAAGGGTTTAATGCCCCACAAATCACTTGCTGCTACCCTCCATAACTACCACCCCGCCCCAGTTGCATTTGACTGTTTAAAGAAATCACAACTTCAGTCACAGATTTCCTGGTGTAATGTGCAGCTTGGCATCAAAAAATATACTGCATTTTGACTGTATCAGAAATTGTCCACTCTCCTTGGACTCTTGGTCCTCTATAGAGCCGGTGTTTTATGTACTTATGCTAAGGTGGATGTTAAACCTGATCACATGAGCAGCACTCCCAAGTATCCACGACCTCTTCTGTTGCTCTCATGCTGATCCTCACGTCTCGAGAAGATCAAGCACAAAATATAAAGATGCACACAATGGAACAGACTCCCACTAAGCAACAGACTCACCGCCGTGGGACCCGCAGGAACTGCTTGTTCTGCTCATGCAGCTCATGGATCTCTTTGGCTTCTTTGGCTGTCAACAGGCCGGTCTGAGCCTCAGCAGGAACAAGCCTGATATTCAGTTTTTCTGCAGAGAAATGCAACACAGGAAAAGGGAGGGGGTGTCAACAGGAGCACAAGAGCCAAGATTTGGCCCGCAGCTGTTCAAAGTACTCACCGGCCACAAATTCCGTGCCGGCCAGCTCAGCCGTGGCCAGGAAATCCTCCAGGGAGCTCTGCTCGGTGATGGACTGAACATTGAGCCGACTCCAGTCGTAACCATCGTTTAATTCGCTCGTATGGAGCTGTTGGAAAAGAGAAGCCAAAGGGTATGGGCTCTCAGCAAAGCCAACAGGCCTGTTTTGCTCCAGGGCTGGAAGGCTGGCTTCTCCACATGAACCAAACAACCCCAAACACCCTGTACACAGGCAACACCCCAAAAACCTATGATTCGCTTCTTACACTATGAGCCATGTGGTCTGTTGAAATTGCTGAAATCAGCGTGAGTGTATTTTTCAGGCAGGTTTTTTAAACAATTCTGTTTTTCATATGTGTTTTTGTGGCTAGGCATTTGTGTAAATCTCTCCACAGTTCCACTTACACAGCCGGGAAATTGAAGAACTCAAAGGAAACGCATCTTCCAAGTATCTAGAACGGGGGTCTTTGCAAAGGCTGTTTGGAAAATGTTATGACTATGGGGACTCCTCCTATCAAGTTAACACGGACTACACGGACTTTATGTCTTACTTTCAAAGGAGAAAATATTGCATATTATGCCTTATTATAGTTACAGTATGCACTCATGTTGTTGTTGTGACACCACCAACTTTATAATTGTTTAATGTATTGTTTTGGCAATCTTTGATGGTGTTTTTCTACTAGCGGAATTTGTATATTTGGGACTCTTGTGATGCTAGAGATGTAAAATTTCCAGAAATTTTGAAGCTTGGAAAAAACCTTGCTACAGTAGCACTTCTTTTTTTCTTTTCCAGATTGAAAGTCATTCTGTTACTTTAGGAACATAAAATATGACTATGGACATTTTTACTTGGCATTAAATTATCACAAGAAGCATATTAAAAATATAGTGTATCCAAACAATTATTACAAACAGAATACCCGCCTGCATGCAAAAACAAAACTGAAACCTTTTTCTTTTCTCGTGACAATAGCACCCCCTAAAGGAAGAAATGCCTCTTGTTCTTGCATTGGAGAGTTCAGATTGTAACCTAGGACCCTGCTTGCCCTCAGTGCACAGAAATTAGATCAATCTGATACCATACCTATTTTTTAGAAATGATTTGGAAAATATTTGAAAATCTTGTCTTAAAATATTTTATTCATCATGTTAAAATAGAACGTTCCATAATTTTTTTTCTTTTTTCAATTTTTCAGGAAAAAAACGAAGAAGGCTTCAGGAAAAAAAGCCGGGTTTTTTCCAGGCCTTCACATCTCTATGTGACACTAGTCTTTTTCCTCTTGTTGTTTGGATTTACTCCCTATGGAAAGAGGGCTGCCCCCTCTCCCCGTCAGGCTGGGAACCCAAGAAGGCGTCGTGGGACTGGGACTGGGACTGGGTCAAAACCGCGTCCCCGGGAGCGCCGCCGAACCCCCGCTGCCGCTCGCTCACCCATCCGGCTGCGGCGCGGCGGCCCCCGCGGGGCTGGCTGCGGTCCCGGATGAGCGCTCGGCCCAGCCCCGCCGCTTTCTTCTTGCCCATGCCGCCACCGCCCGGGGGAAGGCGGACACGGCCGGCGGATCCAATTGCGCTTCCGGGCCACGTGGTGCCGCTCAGCCAATAACACTCGGCAGCCGGTCGCGTCGTCCTTAAGCACCCGGGTTCCTCACCGCGTCTCCTATCTGTAGTTCCGGGCATCTCTGTTCCTACCCGCCAGGGGGCGCCGGGCGCTCGGAGATGGCGGCGGCGGCGGCGGCGGCGCCCAGCAGGAACGGCCGGTCCCTCTGCAGTGGTGTGATGTGCATTAGTCTGTTGGATGTCCGCCCCGCTCTCTGTCGATTGCATGGATTTATTCTGTGTGATCCGCATTGAGTCCCAATGAGAAAGCCCGACGATCAGTGACATAAATAAAAAATATAATTTATTGAGTGTCACTATATGACTGAAAGAGATCTTGGGGTCCCTGCGGATAGCTTAATGAAATTGCTGACACCGGTGTGCAGCACCAGTGAAAAAACAGGCAACGTCAGTGCTGCTGGGGGTTATTGGGGAAGAGATTGAAAATCAAAATGCCACTACTGGAATGCCCCCGTGTAGACCTGTGATGCTGCCAGGTTCCCAGTCAAATCACTCTCCACACACATTTTGACAGTGAATGTTTTAGTTAGAGAAATGAGGCGCTGTGCTTTCAAACTCTTTGTTAGAACCAGGGGTCATTTCCTGTAGGAGCGCACAGGAGTGGAGCTCCGGCAGTAAGGAGCCCAGGGGGCGGGTACATGCAACAAGCCCCGCCCCCTGCTCCCAGCAGCCCTCAATTGGGCCACGAGGAGCAAGAAGCAGCCAGGTAAGTTGCAGAGCCCCCACCTCACCCACCTTCAGGTACAAGCTCTCCCTCCTCTGTGAGGACAGATCTGTGCATTCCCCCCCCCCACCAATAGCTAGCGATCCAAAACAGTCCAGTGGAGCCTGAGTGGTGGGTATTGCCTTCTGACACACTTCCGGTGAAGTCAGGGGGTGTGGCATATGCAAATAAGTTATGCTAATGAGCTCCTGCACTTCTTTTTCTACGAAATGACCCCTGGTTAGAACTGGTTTGCAAGGCAGGAAACGCAATTTGCAACCCCAAATTCCATCCATTCGAACTCAGCATTACTACAGTGGTCCTGAAAGGTATACAACCCCTACCTAGCCAGGCACAGACTCTACTCCAAGGACATTTCTCGTGAGAATGATGTCTTTGGGGCCTCTTCGGAGACTACCAAGCTAGCCTCCCTATTCCACTGTGCGCGCGCGCACTCCCCCCTCACACACACACACCAGGAATGCAATGGCAGGCGAGGGCAGGGATAAAGCAAAGGGATACAGAATGCAAGCGGGCTGTAGCAGGTAGGGATGCAGGGCACAATCAGAATGGGTAGCATACATCATCAGGTGCCAGCCATCTGCCCGCTGTTGAAGACCCGAGTCTGACAGGTGCAGCCTCACTAGGAATACTGCGTGCACTTCTGTACACATCTCGAAACAGATGCTTAGGGGGCTGGAGCACCTTCCTGTCAGCAAATGTCTGGGACTTGCCAATCCAGAAAACAGTCCGCCAAGGGGAGACACGATAGAGCTTTATGACACTATCCATGCTGTGGAGAAAGAGGGCGGGCGGAGAGAGGGGTTTTTTTCTCCCTCTACCGTAATACTAGAACTCGGGCACCCATGAAATTGTTGGGAAACAGGCTGACAAAACAAATTGGTTCAGGTGAGACAAAAGAAAACGCTTCTGTACTCAGGGAGTAGTTCACTGCCAACAGAGAGAGTGATGGCTGCCAGCACAAATAGTTTTAAAACCGGGTTAGACAGATTCAGGGAGGAGAGGTCCATCAATGGCTACTACTAGTCATGGTGACTGAAAGGAGCCTCCATAAGCAGAGGCAGCAAACCTCTGAATGCCATTGCTGGGCTGGGGGGGGCAGCATCCAGGGAAGGCTCTGGCTTTCCGGCCCTGTTTCTTGGCCCTCCAGAGCAGTGGGCAGCACTGTGGCACCCACCAACACCTTACCCGGGGCTCACCAAGTGTTTGTAGAAGGTGGGGGAGGGGCGGGAGGGGCTTTAGCCCACCAAGGGTTCCAATTGGCCACTGGAGACTTGACCGGCTGTGCAGATTTTTTGAAACGTCGTGCTGGCAGCAGCTGCCACCACGGCACAAAGACCTTGACTGTCTGTGGCAGTCATTCTGTGGCTGGCTGTGCCTCCTGTGGCAACCACACTTTGTGGGAGGCATTTTGTGGCTGTGCCCACCCGCTGAAAAAGGTTGGGGACCCCAGCTCTAGACTAACTGGTTGTACACCCTGTGTGGACCTGCAGGCTGGTCTAGATGGCCCACTGACCCCGTCCTCCAGGGCAGTTCTTCTGGCGGCATCATGCTGGGCAACGGAGAAGAAAGTGGGGGGGGGGCCTTGCTTGTCCATCGGCTGCACTGCACTGACAGGAGAGGAGGCGGCCCAGGGCTTCTGTCAGCAGAGAGTGATGCTGCATGCCTGGGATTTTGACAGTGATGTGAAAAGAGTGTGTGTGTGTGTTCACGTGTGCGGGGGGGTCACTGAGAGATCTTGGCCACCCACCCAAAATGCGCACCTGCTACCTAGATGTGATGGGGCAGCCATGTTTGTTCTTGATCTCCCCCATTCACTTTTCTCCTCTGTACAACCCCACCACCACCTTCGATCCTGTAAGCAGCAGCAGCAGGAGAACCTAAGGTGGTTTTCTCTACCCGAAGAAGTCTTGAAGCGACTTCCCTTCCTCTCCCCACAACAGGTCCCTTGTGTGGCAGTTGGGCTGACGGAGTCCTGAGAGAGCAGTGACTGGCCCAAGATCACCCAGCTGGCTTCACGTGGAGGGGGGGGAGGTCAAACCTGGTCCTCCAGAGGCTGCCGCTCTTCACCACCCCCACCACCCCACGCTGGCTCTCCGCTGTTATGTACGCGGACCGCCACCAGGGGTCTGGCGGCTAAAGCAGGCGCTTGGTCCCCAAACACAGAGGGGACCCAGGATCCTCGTCCACCTCGAGTCCACCAAGAGCACCCTCGGCGGGAGACTCAAACCCTCCAGTGGGGACGGAGGTGTGCCGGGGGGGGGGGAGTGTATAGAGTTGGCCTTGCAGGGCCGTTTTTCCTTGTCTTGTTGTGAAGTGCAATCAACGCGTATGAACGCATGTCGTAGTCCGAGTCCTCCATGCGGCGAACCCGGTACTTTACACCTCGTCAGCATCCTCCCCCTGCCCTGGGAGCAGAAGGGAGAGAGGGAGCCTGTTGGGTTTTGAAAATTGGTTTTTAGCAGAGATAAAACAGCTTAGCAATGCCAGAGTAAAATAATTCAGACCCAGAGTCCATGTGTGTTTAAAATAGAAAGTTTTTACTACATTCTAGCATAGGGAAGGGTAACTGGGATGAAAATAACAACAGAAACTAACAACAACAGTAACTGGGATGAAAATAACAACAAAGTTCCCTACATCTTTACACTACAAAGACAAGACTAGAAGAGAGGTATATTGTCGCCTTGCTTATTTCAGATATGCAGACGATACCACTCTGATGGCAGAAAGTGAAGAGGACCTCAAGAGCCTCTTGCTCAGGGTAAAAGAGGAGAGCGCAAAAGTGGGCTTGAAGCTCAACATCAAAAAAACTAAGATCATGGCATCCGGCCCCATCACTCCTTGGCAAATAGAAGGGGAAGTCGTGGAAGTAGTGACAGACTTCACGTTCCTGGGATCCCAGATCACCGCAGACTGTGACAGCAGCCATGAAATTAAAAGACGCCTGCTCCTTGGGAGGAAAGCGATGGCAAACCTTAACAGCATGATAAAAGTAGAGACATCACCCTGCCAACAAAAGTCTGCATGGTCAAAGCAATGGTATTCCCAGAAGTCATGTATGGCTGCGAGAGTTGGACTATAAGGAAGGCCGAGTGCCGAAGAATAGATTCTTTTGAACTACGGTGCTGTAGAAGACTCTTGAGAGTCCCTTGGACTGCAAGAAAATCAAATCAGTGAATCCTAAAAGAAATCAACCCTGACTGTTCCCTGGAAGGCCAGATAATGAAACTGAAGCTCAAATACTTTGGCCACCACCAAATGGGAAGGGAGCGCTCACTGGAGAAGAAGGCCCTGATGCTGGGAAAGATTGAAGGTCAAAGAAGACGGGGACGGCAAAGGATGAGATGGTTAGACAGTGTCATCGATGCAACGAACATGAAATTGAGCAAACTTCAGAGGACAGCGGAAGACCGGAAGGCCTGGCGGGATCTGGTCCATGGGGTCACAAAGAGTCGGACTCGACTGTGCGACTGAACAACAAAAAATAGCTTCTCTTTCTTTCTCCTTGAGAACTCCAGACAAAGACGGGAAGAGGAGCCATAAAATGCTAAAACACTTTGACACTATAACTCCAATCAAACTCCTAGATCAGGGAGAGGTTTCCAGGGCTTGTAGTTCTAAACTAGCATTGGCTATATGAAACATGTGATTTCCTGTGACAACACAAACAAACATTTAACCCCAGAAATACTGAAGTGTTTTCAGCTTGTAACACCCAACAGAGCCCCATCCCAACTGTCCAGCAGTCAGGTGGTGGCCAGCTGCTCTCTCTTCCCTAGACGGGAGCGCCGGCCAGCAGGTGTCCAGGCTTCTCCGAGGGTCCGCTGCCTCTAGCCCCTCCTGCTGCGCTCCCCGCGGCCACGGGGCTCTGGCGCCTGCTCCGTCACCCCACAGAAGCCTCTCTTTGGCCACCGGCCGTTCTCTCTCTCTCTCGGTAGACGGCAGCTCTTCTGCTCCAGGGAGCTCCTCCAAGGCAGCCAACCCCCGGATTCACCACCAACCGGTGTTCCCTCCCAGCTGAGCTAGTGTGAGCTAGCTCACAGTGTTTTAGCCTCCAACGCACACATTTTTGTCTCAGCTCAGGAAGGAGGGCTCCAGAGCAAAAGAATTTATGCAGCAGCCAAATCGCTCATAGCTTACAACTTTAATGCCCAGGAGCTCACAGGGTAGGATTTTTGCTCACAGGACTCTCCGCAGCTTAGAGGGAGCACTGCCACCAACCACCACCCAGGCTCAGCGGCCGCTTCCAGCACCCCAAACCACAAGGCCACTTGGAGGAACCTCTCAAAGCCCACCGGGCATCCCTCCACCGTGAGAGGCAGCCCTTCTCCAGACCGGGGGGGGGGGCTGCTCTTGGACTGGAGGCACAGCAGGCAAGGCGACTGGAGTGCTGCAGGCTGAGGAGCCCGCCAACAAGGGCCTGGGGGTCCACGTGTGCCCTCCCCCGAGGGCAAGGACTCCCTGACCACTGAAGCCGCTGCTCCTGGGCCCAGGGCTGGCGGATGCGCCAGGCACACCCTGTCCTCGACAAGCAAGGCCTGGCCACGGCTACCCATGTGCTCATCACAACCGTGCTGGACTACTGCCATGTCCACTATGTGGAGTTCCCCTTGAAGTCTGTCTGGAAACTTTGGGGGGGGGGCCAAGGGCACTAACTAGGAGGGGAGGAACCACCAGGAAGGAGACCAGCCTGGCAGTCCGGAGCCAGTGGCACGGGCTGCCCACTCCCTTCAGAAGAAGAAGAAGAAGAAGAAGAAGAAGAAGAAGAAGAAGAAGAAGAAGAAGAGGAAGAGGAAGAGGAAGAGGAGGAGGAGGAGGAGGAGATTGGATTTATACCCCACCCTTCACTTGGAGTCTCAGCGTGGCTTACAAGCTCCTTTCCCTTCCCCTCCCAACAGACAGACACCTTGGGAGGCGGGTAGGGCTGAGAGAGCTCTTGACAGAAACTGCTCTTTCTCAAGAACAGCTCTCTGACAGAACTATGGCTTGCCCAGGGTCACGCCAGCCAGGTGTGAGTGGAGGAGGAGTGGGGAATCAAACCCGGTTCTCCCAGATTAGAGTCTGCGCACTTAACCACTACACCAAACTGGCTCTCTGTGCATCATTTCAAGGGATGGTGATTGCGTTGAAGGCCCTGAACAGTCTGGGACTGGGGAACGTGGAAGGCTTCTTGCTCCCTTCACATCCTGCCCAGCAGCGTCCGTCATCCTCAGAGGTGATGCAACTTCACTTCGCCATGAAGGAACGCGAGTGAAACTAATCCACAAAGTGATCCTCCTCCACTAGATCTGCTTCTGGTCGGGATACGTTCCTCCTCCTCAGGAAACCAGCGGATCAGATCTGCCTGGTGCCAGAGGAGCTTTTGCTGCCCAGTTCTGCTCATCGACACTTTGGGCTGATCCCTTTCTTTGCTCCCTCGGCAGATGGCTGCATGCAGTTTGCTGTGGTGGTTAAGTGCGCGGACTCTAATCTGGGAGAGCCGGGTTTGATGCCCCACGCCTCCACTTGCTCCTGGCTGGATGACCTTGGGCAAGCCGTAGCTCTGATAAGAGCTGTCCTTGAAAAAGAGCAGTTTCTGTCAAGAGCTCTCTCAGCCCCACCAACCTCCCAGGGTGCCTGTTGTGGGGAGGGGAAGGGGTTTGTAAGCCACTCTGAGACACCTTTGGGTGGTGAAGGGCGGGGGGTATAAATCCAATCTCTTCTTCTTCTTCTTCCATTTGCAGCTGCTGGGTGACCTTGGGCAAGCCATAGTTCTGACAAGAGCTGTCCTTGAAAAAGAGCAGTTCTCAGTCAGAGCTCTCTTGGCCCCACCTCCCTCACAGGGTGTCTGTCATGGGGAGGGGAAGGAGTTTGTAAGCCGCTCTGAGATACCTTTGGGTAGTGAAGGGCCATGGGGTATGAATCCCGTCTCTTTTCTTCTTCTTCTGATATTGGTGATTTTTGGTGGTTTTATTGTTGTGACTATTATGATGTACCCAGGGATTTCATTGCTAGCCACCTTGGAGGTGTCTGGATCGGAGAGGCAGCGTTTTTGTTTCAAAATAAATGAAGGGGAAGTAGGACTCCCTGCCCGGCTGTGTCTTTCGCTCCCTGGTCCCACAGCACTCAGAACTTTGCCTTCAAGGGACGGCAGACCAAAGCCACTGAAGTGTGTTCGGGACGAGGAGAACCCCGTCCAGAGTGGCATCATCCCTTGGCCTCTCCAGGGAAAAGGACTGTGGGGGGGGGATCTAAAGGTAGGGGCTGGAAGACACCAAAGGCAACAGCGCTTGGGCCATTTCCCACCCTCTGTGTCTGGCTAGCAAAGCCACCTGGTCTCCAAGGACTGGTTCCAGCAATGCCAGCAGCCGCGGCCACGGTGAGGAGTTCCTCGGGAAACTGGCAGGCTAAGCGCGGACTAGATGGACAGACGGGCCTGACCCTCCGTGGAGCAGATCCTGGGGTTTTGGCTGGGCACGCTGACGAAGATATTGACTCAGGGTGCAGCGATGGTGAAAAGGCCACCTTCTATGCTAGGGATTACTTGAAAACGGCTACCTCTCGGCACACTGGGCAGCCTGGAACGTGATCTGTGCGAGAGACTTCCACCCTTCCTCTCCTCTCGTTTAATATTGCCCTTTTACAGATGAAGAAGGGCTGGTTTGTGCACCCAGCTTTTCTCTACCCGAAGGAGTCTCAAAGGGGCTCGCAATCGCCTCCCCTTCCTCTCCCCACAGCAGGCCCCTTGAAGGCAGGTGGGGCTGAGAGCGTGCGGAGAGAGCGGGGACTGGCCCAAGGTCACCCAGCAAGCTTCAGGTGGAGGGGGGACACCAAATCCCCCCCCCCCCGGTCCTCCAGATCAGAGTCCGCCTCTCTTACCCCCACTGGCTCTCAGCTGGGAAAGCGATGCTCTGTCTGCAGAGCTGGTTGGGGGAGGGAAGGTGTGGGTTGCTGCTGCCGCAAGGCCGGTAGGGGGGGGGGTGCGTGCCTGGTGCGGGGCCGGACCCCGGCAGGCTTCCTTCCTTCCTTCCTTCCTTCCCCTGGGTTCCCAGGCGGAGTCCCACCAGCTGCTCCCCTCGAGGGGCCCTGCCTGGGACAGGAGAGGCCCCCTTCTGGCCGAGGCCCGCCCGTCCTGGGGGCTTCTCCCCCCCCCCCGG